CTTAAACCTACTTTCCTGCCCATTCCTCTTTTACCCTTTAACCCATATATAATTAAAAATCTGTCTATCTCCTTAAATTTTGTTCTGTGTGCCAGCATCAACCTCACTCTGTTGTAGTGAATTCTATAATTTTAAAGTGTGATCTGTTTCAGATAATGCATCCTGCCAACCGGACCTCACTGGTTCCATTGCAGAGATAGGCATGACCTGGTCCTCTGCTTCATGGAGACAGACAATTTTTGAAGGACCCATGGCACTCAGCCTGTAAGAGGTGGCATGAACCATCATTTGGATGACAGAACCTTTGAAAAACTTAAGATTATTTTTAAAAGATGTTATCCATGCCCTTCATGTGCCCCTTTATCCACACCCCTATGATCTTCATGCTGAGCAATGGCACTCCATACCTATTCACCTATTGTATTGGACCCTTTAGTAACAATTGGATGTGTTTATATAGCTTTAAGAGAATCTGTCATTCATTTGCAACTTCCTGCTTATTTTATAAAGAAAACTGCTTTCACCACAGACCAATAAAAATGTCCATTATCCAGACCCTTTAAGTATTAATAGCAGAAACTGCAAATACTTGAGTATCTGTCTATTTTGTATAAATAAACATCGTGCAATTGACAGCATAGACCAGAGGGCTGGAGCTGTCAATCAAGCAATGTTTTCCCTCTGGCTCAGCTGTCTCAAGAGTCTAATGGGTGCCTGAGCTCTCAGCTGAGCCTTGTTATGCATTCTTGGCCAAGAGGCTAGTTGCACACTTCTTACAAGGTGGGTGGGCTAGCCAGGAAAAATCTCAACTCCTCCTTCCCATATCAAAGATGAAAATCGAGCCCACTGTACCTTTTCCATATTATAGTGGTTATATTATAAAGGGTTTTATTTAAGTTGACTAGTTGCTGTTGAATATGATGTTTCCATATTTTGTCTGGTTTTCATTGAAGATTTAATTTTATTTTGTTTGTTGACCATTTGCTATTGCAGTTATTTGCTGTTTTTCATTTACTGATCAATCTTTTGTAATACGTTATCTGTTTTCTATTAAGGTTTTTAAAGCTCCTATATTGAGACATCGGGTTCAAAGTTTTATTTGTCAAGTCATAACTTTTTGTAACTTAGGAATAATGTGTTAATGACTGAATGATTGTAGTTTATATCAAAATCTCTTTTCATATTTACCACATTGTAGATGTTTATGTTTCTAAAATTGTGGTTACTTAATGCTTTGCTTTTAAGTTGTTATAGAAACAGCAGTATGAAGCAGTTGTAATAGGCAAGGACCTATGATACTGATATTTTTGAATAGTTTTTGACATTGACAGTTTAACGAAGGTTGTATTACGAAATAGTTGTATTTACTGAGGAATTCATTAAGGTTTTCAGAACAAATTTCAATATTTAATATGTCTCCAAACTAGAGTGACCATTTCTATTGGAAATTTACTGTGTAGGCATTTAATTTCGACCATTAAAACAATGCCATGAAAAGTGGTGTTAACACTTCACACCAAGACCTAAACTTGTCTCAAAATTTAGAAACAAGGAAATGTACAAAGTAATTTAGGTGCTTTTAATATTTAGTGAACTCCCTCCAGCTGCATCTGGTCTTGCAGATTACTTTACTGTTTTATTGATGAATTTTACACAAAATAAATACAAATCAACCATTCTCAAAGGCAATAAGGATTTAAGAATGAGAGAGACACAAGTCAGGAGGAAAATAATCAAGCCAATTTATACACTGTTACGATAATAAAGTGTTTGTGATCATCAAACTGTTAATCAGCTGTCATCTTCCTCAATAGTGTTTCTTTGAACAAATCTGTGCTTTGCACCTTTCTAATGGTTTATCTTTTACTTCTACCTACCCACTGGAAGCCTATGATCAACAGTCATCTTTGCTGTGAAGCATAAGCAAGAAGATTTTCCAATTAGTTATTCATCGATTTATGTAATACAAATGATCCTTTTCAATTTCAAGGACAAGGGCATTTTAAAACACTGCAAATCAATAAACTGAAGATAGACTTTATGGTGCATGTCTTCAGATCATGATAAAAGTAGGATATATGGCTTAACTTCGTTATACTTCACCAATAGGCCTCCTGAATCTGCGCATCACCGGATTCAAACTAGAGCTGTGATTGCAATGACCTGAGGCTTCAGCCTAAAAAAGATAAATGGGAACTTTAAGTCACAGTCAGCAGCAGGCTCTTTTGCTCCACCACTGATGGAAAGATCTGCACTTTTATTTTGAGTAATCTAGTTGGGAAATCTATAGGTGTTCATTAAAATTTTATTTTATTAGGTATTAGTTACTGGAAGTATATAAAGCTACAAGATGAATTTCAAGACATCAAGATTTTATCACTAATTTCCAACAATGAATTTCTATTACATAAGTCGATATAGAAAAAGGACTATAAATTAAGAGCTATAAACTGCGAAGCTATGAACCAGTTGCTGGAAGGTGAGGTTAGAATGGGCAGCTAGTTTTCCTTTTTGGTCAGCTCAAATATGATGGGCTAAATGAAGTCTTTCTGAGCCATAACAGTTCTATGGATTCTGTGGTTCTAAATTATTCCTGGCCCTTATGAGTGCCACAGACACAAAGCTAATGTGTTGTACATTCTTCAAACCTGCTGAAAAACTGATATCTGTATTTGGCAGGAACAAAAACAAAGTTGCTGGAAAAGCTCAGCAGGTCTGGCAGCATCCGTGGAGGAAAAAACAGAGTTAACGTTTCGGGTCCGGTGGGATTCTGATGAAGGGTCACCGGACCCGAAACATTAACTCTGTTTTGTCCTCCACAGATGCTGCCAGACCTGTTGGGCTTTTCCAGCAACTTTGTTTTTGTTCCTGATTTACAGCATCTGCAGTTCTTTCAGTTTTTATTCTGTCCTTGGCAGTCTGCAGTGAAGAAATAGCACTCAATGATGACCCCAAAGAAATCTGCCCTCAAGGATCTAGTAGTCTCTGCAGTGTTAATTTTGCTTACCCCAACATTAGTTTCAATCTTCCATCAAGTCAAGGTATCCAAGTACTCTGCAACAGCAATGTCATCAAGTTGGGTAAATTCTAGAGTTTGCTTTTAACTACATGAGTGGATTCCAGATGTTGTGATTACTTTGAAATGAATAATGGTAGTGAACACTTGCCACCTTCCATTGTTATTAATACTGCAAAACCATTACCAAATTATTAATTGATCTTCTGCTGGTTTTCTTCCAAGGGTTTTTAAACTTGTTTAGCTTTCTGTTTTTGTTCTTACCTTACAGTTTCATTTACTTTCATGTATTGAGGCTACAAAACAGCTTCAGCATCAGCTTTTGCAAGTTCAGAACAGTGTCTTTGAAGGTCAGTTGTCCTATGTATTGAGCATTTCTCTTTTTATAAGAATGCCTTTAAAACATAACCACTTTTTTTTATTGACCAGTGCAAGCATAGCTGGCAATTCTAATATTTATTGCTCGGCTAAAATTGCCCTTGAGAAATTGGTGGTGAAACACATTCTTGAAGTTCCCATGGCGTATGTACACTTGCATTGCTGTTAGAGAGGGAATTCCAGTATTCTGTACTCACAAGCATGTTTATAGTTGTCTGTATGCCTCACCTCATTGAGTATACTGGCCACCAGTGTAATGTTCCCAACCGTGTAGCCCGTTCAAGGGCCAAAAATATCAATACCTGGCTTTTGGTGTTCTCAGCACCCCCATCATTATGTTTGTAATGGAATTACAGTAGAAAACAGTAAAATATCCAGCTTCATGTTTGTTAGCAGGTAGAATTATTAACATTACTCAAGAAAAAAAAAACTTTTCTCTTGATTAGCACCTTCCTCAAATATATACCCAAGATTAGTAATTTACAGAGCTGCAGAACATTAGCTGAAAACTATATCTAATAAATACAAGGAATGTTGGCATTCTTACAGTGAATCTATGTTACAGACAGAACTCCCCATTGTCTCTTACTGTTAGCATTCTCCAGAATGAAATGAAGAAATGCTTCTTTTCTTGTTGGTCTACAAATTTATACTAAGTGATCGTTTATTTATACGTTACAGTTCGTCATGCTACTGGAAAGCAGATTATTTCTGTTTAGTTTTAATTGGTGTTTTCGCAGACTTTGATTTATATTTGGAAAACCATAAGAATAGGCTGGCTTCCAGGGAGCTCCAGAATACCAGAGATAACCCTGCTTATTCTGCTGAGGAACTCGAAATATAAACTATAAATAAAGAAGTAAGCAGTTTGATAGTTTTGTGTCCACACTTGAGGGTTACACTGCAGATGTGAGTTGTTTCGTTCTCTGTTGTTAAGCTGATTTGACAGATCGAGATTGGTCAGGTTCACACACTGATATAGTGCCACACAACAGGAAGAGGGATTGAAGAAGGGTCTAGGCCCGAAACGTCAGCCTTCCTGCTCCCCTGATGCTGCTTGGCCTGCTGTGTTCATCCAGCTCTACACCTTGTTATCTAGGAAGAGGGATTGGTTTTCTTTTACTCCCTTTCAGCAATGTTTTAATGTGTTGATTTCTCTCCGAATAAATCTGTATCTTGTTAATAATAACATCTAAAGCACACTTCTAAGTTTCTGAAACTAAAATTTGTGGGTTTGAGAGCTCTATTACTAATTTGGGAAAATAATCTTAAAACTGGACTCAAATACCGCACATAGTGATTATTGAGCCAATATAAATATTGTTACAGTAATGAATTTTTATTTGATCTGTAAATAAGAACTATGAATAGTGGAAAGTTAAAACATGTCATCACTGAAGTGCTACAAATTTAGGGCATATGTGTTAATTTAAGGGAATGCAACTTGATGAGTGTGCTTTTTAAAAATCTAAATGCCTGCATTCCATCTTAATCTGTGAGATCATTTGTAGTTGCAAATTCTGCGGAAGCATTAGAGGGTACTATCTAATATTACAAACAGCTTTATTGAAACTCTATGTGGACTTTGAACACTATTTATTTTCAGTTTGCAGGGAAACAGAAGATCTTTCAGCAGTCAATGGCACAAATTGTAACAGAATTGGCCCTTGTAAATCAACACGAAGAAAGCTTGCAAAAGCAGCTGGATGAACAAGAGAAGTATCTGCTTCAGGTAGTGTGACTGGAAACAACTTACGTGAAAATTAATATAAATAACATTATATCTGCTTAGACACATTGAATTATTATCAAAGCAGATTAATACCTGCTCAACACAAAGCAGAAATATGCGCTTGGCTTATTTTGGTTTTCAGATTCCACTTGAAAGCCAAGTTCACTGAAGCTGAACTCAAAACTTAAAATCTGTGGTATGTAAAACAAAATTGGCAGCGATGCTGTTTGATGCTCCTAAACATTTGCTGAAATAATTTAGATCAGATGTATATATTGGCAGCAGAGTGTTGTCTTTTCCTCTGCCAGTGATCAACTGGTAATGTCATAAGCAAAAGCAAATATAAAATACTGCACAAACTGGAAATCTGAAATAAAAACAGAAAATTTTAGAAAATCAGGTCAGCGGCACGTTCAGTGAAGGAAAAAGTTAATGTTTCAGATAGATAATCTTTTGCCGAGCTGGAAAATTCATCATGTAATAAATTTTATTTAAGTTCAGAGCAGGCAAAGGGGTTAAGAACACAAGGGACAGTCTGTGATAGGAGACTGCAAGAAAGATTTAATGACAAAACACATGAAAATGCAAGGAAAAAGGCGATTTATGGCTGTTGTCTAGTATGATTTCTTCAGTATCTGAGACATTGTACTGTGTGGTGGGAATTTGATTAAGTGCAGTTCAGATTTGTTGCCTATTTTTCCAAAATTCTTGACCATTGCTTATTGTAATGTTATATGTCCTAGCATGGATACAACAATGTCAAATCTTTCTACAAATCCATGCATTTATATGAAAATCTCATACTCTTATTCTTTATCCTGGTTCATATTGGGATAACTGTCCACATGATTGTTGATTTACAATCTTTGTACCTTTTTGTCCCTTCTTTCCAACAATGTGAAAGTCTGGGGGAACTATCAATCTGTTTTCCAAATATGAGCAATGCCAATGATGGTAAGCCATTGCCTTGAGGAGTAGCTCATAGATTTAACATAACCATCAGAAAATTTTAGTCAATCGTAAAGTGACTTACCATCATAGATTTTAATGTCTGAACAATGTTTTACAACACTGGTTGATTGAGGATAGTAGGAGAAGAGGTAATATGTTGAATACACCATTTCCTGAACATGCCTTGGAGAGGTCCGTGAGTGTACTGTGGACAATTGTCAGATCCAATTTGGTGAGAAACATGGAAAATACTGAATAAGGTTGTCATTATTACACAGGTGGTATCTTTGATTTGTTACACAATAGGGGATTTAGTCAGGTAGTCACTAAAATGTTACCTTGCACTTGACATGGAAAAATATCAGTGGCAACTTTACACCATGGCTTAGAAAGAATCCTGTGTGGAAGGAAGTGTTTTCTTCATTTTTGAAGTTGATGGAGTTGATGTGTTTCACACAATTTGATTAATGGATCAATGTCCTTATTTATGCCATATCAAATAATAGATTCACATACCCACCTCTTGATATTTTATTGAGTGCCTTTGTGATTTATAAGTATGTGGTAAAGCATGTCATGATGTAGCAGAATTACCACTGAAGATTATATTACTAGAAACTCCTAGTGCATTTCTAAATGATAGGAAAGCATGTGCTTGCTTAGGAACTTCTTGCATGCATTCAGGCCTCTGTTGGAGATAATATTTTAAGCTGGTCATCATCTGTCGTAGCTTGCTGAAGCTATTCTGTGTTATGAGGTTGGGTAGAGCATTCATGAATTGGAAGGCAGGAAGTTAGATTTTGTTGGTAAAAATGGTTGTGGGGAAAAGAGTGCTGTAGTCCCTTTAAGAACTTGTGCTTTGTCTGTGCTTGGAAGTTTATAAATGCAGGTGTATAGAGAGTGCCTGAATGGAAACATTTTGTGTAGAACAGACCAGTAGCATTTTTTTCCAAGAGAGCAAGTTTGAATTTGGCTAATTAATTTAAACCAAGCACCTAGATACAGAAAGCCAATTGAATTTAAATCTGATGGTGTTGACAATCTGAAACCAATCATATTATAAGAATTTGATTGTGTCATTATGGGTATATAAGACAAGACATTTGGAAAATCGGGAGAGCCATCCACCGCCAGCCAGAGTTAGCACCATTCAGCTCTCAGAGAAAGTCTATCTAATTAATAAAAGGTACCACAGTATTTTACCTTGAAGTCCTCATTAAAGAAATTATAGAGATAAAACATCCCTGACAGCAGAATTAGCAGAAGAAAGGCATTTGTGAAGAGTGCAAAGAAGACTGAATATTCCAGGAGGCAGTCTGTGTAAACTTGGAGAGATTAAGTTATAATTCATTGTTCTCTTATTAATTTGGTTATATTAAATGGGACTTGTGTTTATTTGAACAGTATTCCAGCAGAATTAAGACCAGATAGGAAGTAGTTGGTAGTCTAAGGGGGAATTGTTGGTTTGTTAGTAATTCTGTTAATTTGTTCATTGTTGGGTTAAATAAATAAAGTTTCTTGTTACTTGTAAAGTGGAGATCAGGGATTTTCTTTCTTTTAACCATTCTTTTAATAGAATACGAAGGGAAAAGTGAGCTTTTCTGGGTGTTTTGGGGTAATTATTAGAGGGGAACCCCTACTCCCGTCTTAACAGTTTAGGGCTTCTGTTTTAGTTTAATTATCAGAGGAGTTCGGCTATTCCCCTTCCGTAACATCTGTTAGGCTGTAACCAAAATGAATGAGATTGATGTTAAAACTACCTTCTCATTGAGTTTCAATAATATCCACTTGTATGTTGAAAGGAATATCTTTGTTCTTAGTGAGGTTTGGGCGAACATTGAAGTAGTCATTTGGGAAGCTGGTTTGTATTGAACTTCTACATTGCATACTTGATCCTTCCTAAGGACTGTTCGCAACTTGGAGATGCACTTGAGAGATGGTCTAGAAAAATATTTCTAATCAGTTGTGGACAGTATGAACAATTAAATCTGCACTAAGTAGGTATGTAGTGAAACCATTGTATCCTGAAAACTAGAATAAATGTTTCTCTTTGGTAGTTTGATTAGTTTACCTGAGCTGACGTAAGGACCTTAGAACCAAACACAACAGGCTTGCTATCCTGTAACAGACATACTCCGAGGCCTTTCTGGGACGCATCTAATTCTAATAAGGTAAGCTTTTGAGGGATCGTGATTTTGAGGAAGGCTCTACCTGGATGATGAAGCATTTTTGAGAGATTGAAGAATATTCTTGTGATTTTCCTGCCGTAGGTAAGGTGTGTTTTCGCGGAAAAGAACTTGAAGATGAAATGCCTTGATTGCAAAGTTTGGAGTATATGGGGATAAAAAGTTGAAGAGCCTAAGACATCTTTGTAAATAATATTTGTCTTGTGGTGTACATTTTCTGTTTTGCTAGAATCAGGTCTAATATGGGTTGATGAGTGGATTGAACCAAGGAAATTGATTTGGCTCATGTTAATATTACAGCTTTAATATTGAAAACAAGACTATGTTTCCTTGCCACTACTCTGAGCTGATGGAGGTTTCTGTCATGTTCATGTTTTGTTTTTCTAAGGATTGCAATATCATAGAGTCATAGAGGTCTACGGCACAGAAACAGGCCCTTCAGCCCATGGAGTCTGTGCCAGTCAAAACAACCACCTAGCTATTCTAATCCCATTTTCCAGCACTTGACCCATAGCCTTGTATACCTTGGCATTGCAAGTGTACATCTAAATACTTATTAAATGTTCTGAGGGTTTTTGTCTTTACCACCCTTACAAGCAGTGAGCTCCAGATTCCCATCACCTTCTGAGTTTAAAAAAGCATCTTCTCATATCCCCTCTAAACCTCCTGCCCCTTTTCTAAAATCTATGCCCCAGTCATTGATCCCTCCCCTCTTGTCTATGCTTTCTATGCCCCTTCTATTTTTATATATCTCAATCACATTCCTTTTAAGTCTCCGCTGATCTAAGGAAACCAACCACACTCTATTTCTGAAGAAGGGTCCCGACCCAAAACGTCAGCTTTCCTGTTCCTCCGATGCTGCCTGGCCTGTTGTGTTCCTCCAGCTCCACACTTATCTCACACTCTATTCAGTCTCTCTTCATAGCTAAAACTCTCCAGGCCAGGCAATATACAGGTAAATCTCCTCTGCACCCTCTCCACTGTAATCACATCCCTCCTATAATGTGGATTCCAGAAGTGGACGCAATACACTTGCTGTGGCCTTACAAATTTTTTATACAGTTCCAGCTTTTAAACTCAATGCCTAGGCTAATGAAGGCAGTTATCCCATTTGCCTTCGTAATTACGTTATCTACGTGTCCTGCTACCTTAAGGGCATGGTGGACATGCATACTAAAGTCCCTGTGATCTATGGTCCAGGATCCTACCGTTCATCATGTATTCCCTTGCCTTGTTTGGCCTGCCAAGTGCATCACCTCAGACTTACACAGATTGCATTTCATTTGCCATTGATCAGCCTGTGTGACCAGGTCCCTGATATCCTCCTATTCTATAAAGCTATTCTTCCATTCCTTACCACCCCACCAATTATTGCATCATCTGCGAACTTACTGATCACTCTCCTAAATTCAAGTCTAAAATATTGCAATCTTTTCCATAACACACTCCAAGATCATACTTCCAATTTGTGTACTGCCTATTGCTCCCAAGTTGAAATACAAAACAAATAGATGTTTTAAAGGGACAAAGAGATCACACTGCAGAGAAGGACCTGCAACTTAATGCTTCTGTGATATTTGAGAATCCCATATTTGTCGGTTTGGAAAACAGTTTGATTACTTTGTTTGACTACTTTTTCATTTGACTACTTAATAAATTGGCTAAATGTTCTGCACCTGTATAAGAAACAACTACCCGTTACTAGTTTTAAATATGATCATATTATGAACTTTTGAGCCTTTCGAATCTGCACAGAATAACGAGCAAGATTGCTAAAGCAAAAGATAACCAACAAATTATTTTGTGAAATAATCATGAGAATAAAATACATCCAGTTATCTTGGGAAACAAATGTTACTTATT